ATACCATGGAACCCCAGGAAGGCCACCATCAACAAGTGGAGAAAATGGGGTATCACAGTGACATTACCAAGAACAGAATGTCCCTTCAAAATTTACAAAAGGACAAAGAAATACCAGGGAGGCTACCAATAGACCTACAGCAACCTTAAAGGAGGTGCAAGAATACCTGACATGTACTGATTACTCTCTGTATGTGACAACAGTCTCTCATATTCTTCACGTGTCTGGGCTATGGGGTAGGGTGGCTATATGGAAGCCCTTCTCACAAAAACATCCAAGCTCAAATAAATCTCACCAAACCATGTGGTAAAATGTGTTATAATGTGATGAGTCCAATTCCAAAAGGTATAATGATTCCATAAGTCCAAAAGGTATGTTTGGTGCCAAAAAAAAAAAACTTCACCAAAAGAACACCATACCCATGGTGCAGCATGGTGATGGCAGCATCGTACTTTAGGGCTGCTTTTCTTCAGCCAGAACTGGGGCATTTATCAAGGTGGAGGGAATCATGAACAGATACAAATACCAGTTCATTTTAGTGCAAAGCCTTCAGGTGTCTTCTAGTAAGCTGAAGATGAAAAGGAATTTCACCTTTAAACATGATGATGACCCAAAGCATACGTCCAAATCAACAAAGGAATGACTTAACCAAAAGAAAATCAATGTTTTTGAATGACCTAATCCAAGCCCAAACCTGAATCCAACTAAAAATCTGTGGGGTGACCTGAAGCAGACTGTGCACAGGAGATGCCCTTACAATTTGATGGATCTAGAATGTTTTTGCAAGAAAGAGTGGGAAAATATTGCCAAGTGAAGATGTGCCATGCTGATAGACTCTTACCCAAAAACACTAATAAAATCAAAAGGTGCTTTAAAAATATTAGCATAGGGGTGTGCACACTTATGCAACCAAGTTATTGTAACTTTTTTCCCCCTTATTTTTCCTAAAATGTTTCTGTTTGTTTTCACTTAATTTTTATACATTGTAATTTCACATTGAGGGTGGAAAAACATCTGACATTATTTATCTTGGTTTCATATTTTTACATCACAAAACTGACATTTTCACAGGGATGTGTAGACTTTTTATATCCATTGTACGTATCATCACGAAACTTGATAAGTATCTTCAGGACCATACCCTGAATGTACCCAAGAAGTTTTGTGACTGTGAAAACTGCAACAACTTTAGTTTTTACCTTGCACACTGACACAAATCTTGGTAGGCATCTTCAGGACCATGTCCAAATTTGCAACAAATTTCGTGACACTTACTGGTCAAAACTGGTCAAAATGTTATTGCACCTAAGTGCCATTTTTGGTACTCCTCCTCCAGGTTTTCTCCAATCTTCACCAAATTTTGCTCACATCATCTTGAGACCTAATACCTTAGATGTTTTTAAATTGCAAGGCAAAAAATATTTTCAAGTCAGAGCAATCATGACTACAGGTGAAAGTAACAAAAGACACCACCACAGGTCACAGCAGTAGTGGCAGCTGCAGCAGCAATGCCACCCTGCTGCCCATTTGTTCATCTAGACCTTTCCTCCTACAGTCAGAGAATTCCACCACTGTCCATGGTCAAAACATACAAATCATGAGTGAAACTACAAATAACTCTTGAATCACTTTGCCTAAAGTTATGGCTCTGCTTTCCTGTGATTGATAGGCAACAACTGTAGCACATCTGTGAATGTGTGGCTCACATTATTATTATTATTATTATTATTACATGCTTTTTTTGTGAAATCAAATTTTTCCTCAAATCAACCAGCTTATTGAGGAGAGGTGTGCTATGACTTTTATAAGCGATCAGACTTACGATGTTTGATCAGTGGACAAAAATTGTGCAAAAAAAATCCCATAGACTTACATTGACAGAATGTTCAGAGCCTGGCTGGGAATGTTCAAGATTTCAAACTCCAGCTGTCAAAACTCACATACACATGTGTGCACATGGCCTGAAGCCCCTCTTCTCTCCCTCCCACTCAATGTACCTGTAACAGAGACTCTCACTTCATCTATCTCTCTATCAATGCCATACACTCTCTCATTTTCTTTCTATCAATCTACCTATATTACTGTCTCAATCTTTCTGTCTTTCTAATAATAACATTCTCTCTCCATCTATCAACCTGCATCACTCTCTCACTCCATCTGACTTTCTACTTGTATGATTCATTTCTTGTATCACTCATATCACTCATGTATCACACATTTGTCATCTATCTTTCAACCAGTAACTGTCTGTCTGTCACCGTTTCTTTCTTTCTGTCGAAGTTGAATAGTTTCAACTTCAAACATTTTTCAAAGTTATGAAAGCGTTTCAAACTTTCAGACTGGCTTTGTCAAGCCAACATCAAAGTTTGTTGTAATGAACTTTACCTACATTATCTAGTTGCCTATGCAATTTCCTGTGGGTTGTCTGGTTCCCTCCCACCCCCTCTGAAATGTGCTGGTAGGAGGAATAACCATGCTAAAATGCCCCTAAACGTAAATAAAGTTGACTTATTTTTAAGATATTTTCATTTTTATGCTGTCCAATATCTATGTGTGTGTCTCTGTGGGCTCTGTCTATGTTAGCAAATGGCCCTAGGTTATGGTGTTTGGTGGCATATAGGGGAAATTTTTACATCTCATGGTAAGGAATGTAAAGACATCCGTGAAGTGCATTGTTACTCTACTCACTGTGAGTGAGACAAGCATTTCTGGTGAATTATCTGATATATACTTAGAGGGTTATGGGGACATTCATTCATTCATCTCCAGTAACTGCTTTATCCTAGTCAGGGTTGTAGTGTATCCAATCCCAGCCAATGTGGTGAAGCCAATCCCAGTAGTACTGGCCACAAGGTACGAGAATTCACCCCACATCAGATGCCAGTCCATCAGAGATCATCATGTGTGTGGACAGACACACACACACACATACTTATGGGCAATTTAATGTAACCTACTCATGTACTACTGTAACCGTACTGCATGTTTATGGAAGGTGGGAGACAACCAGAAAATCCAGAGGAAACCCATACAAACACAGGGAGAAAACTGAACTCACACTCAAACCCAGGACCCTGGAACTGTGAAACACCAATACTACCCACTGCACCACTGTGCAACCTTTATAGGGGACAGATAACAAAAATTTATCATGTCAAATTATTTCAGCATGGTTATGTAATAATATAGATTCCATAATTGTTCTCAATAGCCATGGTAATTTGGAATCTCAAATTTTTACCAAAAATTAAGTAAAATGCAGATGAATAGATTAAAAAAGCAATATGAATTCATGAATGATGAAGTCCTCTTTTGATCCAGTTCATCAATTCAATTCAATTCACTTTTATTTATATAGTGCTTTTAACAATGGACATTGTCACAAAGCTGATTTACAGAACTCCAGATTTATAATTGAACAAGCCAGAGGTGACAGTGTCAAGGACACTGGAAAAAGTTCGAGTCAAGGTCTTTTACTGCTGCACATGATGTAAAAGAAAGGTCATCCAGAGTTACTGTGTGATAAAGCTTACTTCTAGCTGTCTGTGGTTCTAGTAGAAGTACTTCTGTCTTAACAGAATTAAGTAGAAGGAAGTTACTAAGCATCCAGTGTCTAATGTCTTTAACACATTCCTCAAGCTTATTAAGCTGGTGTCTCTCATCTGGCTTTTCTGAAACATACAACTGAGTGTCATCAGCATAACAATGGAAGCTAATTCCATGTTTACGAGTAATTGTACCCGGTGGTAGCATATATAGAGAAAAAAGCAGTGTGCCTAAAACAGAACCTTGTAGAATGCCAAACTTTAACTTAGTATGTATAGAGACCATTTACAACTATAAACTGATAATGATCAGTCAAATAAGTCCTGAGCCAGGAGAGGGCCATTCCTTTAACTCCAACAACATTTTCTAGTCTATCAAGGTGATTAATATGATCAGTGATATCAAAAGCTACACTAAGCAGAAGCAACACGGGGTCAAAAGCTGCACTACGGTGAACCGAGGAGACACAACCCTGATCGGAGGCCAGTAGTAGGTCATTTACCACTTCAGCTAGCACTGCTGCAGTGCTGTGATGAGGCCTAAGTCCTGACTGAAAGATTTCATGAATATTATTCCTGTGTAGGTATGAGCATAACTGCTGTGCTGCAACCTTTCCTAGGAAGGGGGTTGATATTGGCCTACAGTTGGACAACTGACAGGAGATCAGGTTTTTTAACCAGAGGTTTGATTACTGCTAATTTAAAGGATTTACGTACAAAGCCAGTGCTAAGAGAAAAATGTATTATTTGTAATAGAGGTTTCATTGCTTCTAGTAGTATCTGTTTTAAGAAATGTGTAGGTATGGGATGTAGTTCACAAGTTGATGATTTTGATGAAGAAATTAGTTAAATTAATTTGATCATGCAAAGTGGAGTAAAGCATTCTATTTGCTGATCTGATATGGTTATATTGCCATCTTCATGGGTAGTTATCAACTTAACTGGCTTTAAATTAATAGTCAGAATTTTTGGATTTTTTCAATTTTGTCATTAGTTATCGCTACTAAATACTTGGTCTTATTCTTAGTTAACCTTGCTACAGTATTAAATAAGAATCTAGGATTATTTTTGTTATCTTCTGTTAGTACACAGTATAGTAAACTCCTGATCAGTAATATTTTCATTTACAATTTAGATGTAAGCGATCTAATATTGAACAGTCCTAGCTAGCTATGCATTTGGTATGATCTAATTGTATGTTAATTCCACCCATCTATTTTCCACACCACTTATTCTACACAGGGTCACGGGGGAGCCTATCCCAGGGAACTTGGGCCACAAGGTGGGGGACACCCTAGACAGGGTGCCAACCCACCGCAGGGCATAATCACACACTACGGACAATCTGGAAATGCCAGTCAGCCTACAACACACGTCTTTGGACTGGGGAGGAAACCAGAGTACCCAGAGAAAACCCCTGAAGCACAGGGAGAACATGCAAGCTCTGCACACACACCACTGAGGTGGGATTCGAACCCCCAAGGCTTTGCAAGGCAAATGTGCTAACCACTATGCCACCACGCCCACTTGTATGTCAATTATATTACTAAAACAAACTTTCTGAGTATTCCTACATTTTTGTTTAGCTTGGGGAACAGACACAGTCTACCAGATGGTTGGTTTAGCCTGCTTATCTGCTCCCTGGCCTTGGCTCTGGATTGTCACCAATTAACTAGACCTGTTGTGAGACTATGAGCTATGCTGCAAGAAACCAGCACCTTCTGAGTGGAATGGATACCATCCCACCCTAACGAGTCAGCCTTGGCCTCAAAACTACTCCAATTATCAATAAAGCCCACATTGTATTCAGAGCACCACATGGACATCCAGCAGTTCAGCGACCATAACCTGCTGTAAGCTACCGAACTGTCATCCATTTGCCCCGCTGTAGGTGACCTGGAGTGACCCGAAGTTGGGGTTTCGCTATCTCCACCTAAGGCATCCAGATTTTTCCTACTGAAATTGTGCTGCTCTTGCTTTCGCTAACCTTCTCTAGCATCTGAATGTGCACCTATAATGCTGCAATCTTCTCCATCAGAGTGCTAACTAATATACACTTATCACAAATAAAGCTACTACTAACAAAGGAGAAAGAATGACAAAACATTCTTCATTAAACACATTGAACAAGCTGAGTTTGTTTGTTTGTCATGTTAAATGTACTTTAGTCGAAGTTTTGTTGAGAGAATTTTTAGGTAGATCTAAAGTGGATGGCCTCCACTTTCCTGTCTTTTGATGAAAAAAACAAGAAAATGTTCTTCGAGAAAATGAAAATGAGCTAGAAGGGGAGAGTGAAAAATATGACAAATAAAAATTATAGCTCAAAATTATTGATGAAAATTTTTTAAAAATGGTATAGTTTAATCAGCAACATAGGCAAGAAATTCCCAGCAAACAATTAGAAAAACAGGAGTGGTAAATCAGAATGCTAATATTGCTAAAATTAGTTAGTTAATTAATTAATTAATTAATTAGAGTATCACATACAAAGAGTAAGATGAAAAAACATTGTGGCCACATCTTGTGGTGCTACATTAATAGAAGAATTATTATATTTTCATACTGTGCTTTTTCTTCTGCAAACACTATTTGCTTTTGTCACTGGTTTCTAGCAAAATCAAACTCAGTATTTCTGCAAATGCTGTTTATATGGCAATGTGGAGATGTGACAAATTAAAGGAACAATGGGTGGTTCTGTTATGATGTGAGGGCATTTTGTTGGCATATTTTGGGTCCACTTGTCCCCTTAGATGAAGGAGTCAGTACAAATCAATCCAAATTTATTCTGACTAATCATTTTTATACTATGATAAAACATTTCTATTCTGATGGGAGTAGACTCTCCCAGGATGACCCTGCCCTCATCCACAGGGCACAAGGGCTCACTGAATAGTTTGATGAAAATGAAATAAATTGGGGCTCCAGAGTGATGCAACAGAAAATTGTTGACCCTATCGACAGTAGATTGTAAATCACAACTATGCCACAGCCAACATTGGCTAGGAGTCCTAAAGAGCAAAACTGTCCACTGTGGGTGGGCGGTACGGCATTACTCACTCCTCTGTCAATCAGAGCTACACTAACTAATGGTGGGCATCTATGAGCTTATGTATGTGGAAGAGGGCAGATGGCACTTTCCACAGAGTGTGTTACATTGCACTGTGATCAGTTTGAAAAGATACAGTAGCTCTCTTCTCATATCTCCAAGTGTTATGCTCCGCCCCTTTTCTGTGTGTGCGTTTGTGTCTGTGTTCCGTGTTTTGTCCTCTGTCCAGGTGCTGCTGCATTACTTCCAGGTTCCGGCTACGTCACCTCCCGCCGCCTGCAGGTGTGCTTACATCATCATTGTGACACCACCGGACAGACCTGTGATTTGCTTGTGTGATTTCCTCGTTGTCATTGTCTTTTGGTGTATGACCCTTTTGCTTGTGTGTGAACTTCAAGATTAGCCTATCTCTTTCATTTTTAGTATCTGTTCTGTATATAATTATTTTTGTGTAAATTTTATAATACATTCCAAGTCACTGGATGTAGGGCTTGGCTACCGTGTGGTTTAAGTGTGGGTTGAAGTCAAGGAGTAAAGGACGCAGTTTGGTAGGTAAGGTAGCATCTGCTTGTAAAGTTAATGTCAGGGTTAGTTTTGCCTGATGATTTCCAATGACTGTATTCAGACAAAGTGACATAATTGTAAATATAACAATAATTTTATTACTTGGATGAAAATCCTTTGCTGTCAATGACTGCCTGAAGTCTGGAGCCCATGTTCTCAAAACTCAAATTCTGAGTTTCCTCCCTGGAGATGCTTTGCCAGGCCTTCACTGCAGCCATCTTTAGTTGCTGCTTGTTTGTGGGTCTTTCTGCCTTCAGTCTTGTCTTCAGTAAGTGAAAAGCATGCTCTATTGGGTTGAGATCAGGTGACTGACTTTTCTTTGCCTTCAAAAAGTCTTGAGTTGCTTTCACAGTATGTTTAAGGTCATCATCCACCTGCACTCTGAAGCAGCGTCCTATAAGTTTGGTAGCATTTGGCTGAATGTGAGCAGAGAGTATAGCCCTATACACCTCAGAATTCTTCTTGCTACTTCTGTCAGCAGTCACATCATCAATAAACACCAGTGAGCCCGTTCCATTGGCAGCCATACATGCTCATGCCATAACACTCCCTCCACAATGTTTGATACATGATGTGGTATACTTTGAATCATGAGCTGTTCCTTTCACCATACTTTTCTCTTCCAATCATTCTGGTACAAGTTAATCTTGGTTTCATCAGTCCAAAGAATCTTATTCCAGAACATGGGAGGGTTTTTTAGATGTTTTCTGACAAAGTCTAATCTGGCTTTCCTGTTCTTGAATGTTACCAGTGGTTTGCGCCTTGTTGTAAACCCTCTGTATTTACATTCATGAAGGCGTCTCTTGATTGTAGATTTTGACAATGATACACCTACCTTCTCCAGAGTATTCTTCACTTCTGTTGTGAAGGAGTTTTATTCACCAAGGAAAGGATTCTGCGGTCATCCACTTTAGTTGGCTTCGGTGGTCTTCCACGCCTTTTGATGTTGTTGAGCTCACCAGTGCTTTCTTTCTTTTTAGGAATGTACCCACCTGTTGATTTGGCCACACCTAAGGTTTTTGCTATCTCTCTTATAGATTTATGTTGTTTTTTCAGCCTAATGATGACTCACTTGCAGTGAGATCTCCTTGGACTTCATATTGGTAGCTCCAGTCGAACAGCTACCAGATGCCAACTCAATACCTGATATCAACTCCAGACCTTTTATCTGCTTCACTTGTCTTGAAGTAATGAGGGAATGGACCACACCTGGTCAATTAACTTCTTGTGAGTCAATTGTCCAAATACCTTTGAGCCCCTGAAAATGGAAGTATTTTGCTTAAAATGGCTGTAATTCCTAAATGGAAAATGCCATATTTTTGTGGAACCTCTTAAAATAAAGCTGAAAGTCATCTTGATTGTTTTATAAAGTATATAAAGGCAAAATCACTTCTGGACCTAACATATAAACAGTCTATACACCCTTGTTAAAATCAAGATACTTATCAAGTTTCGTGATGATACGTATAATGGATATAAAAAGTCTACACATCCCTGTAAAAATGTCAGTTCTGTGATGTAAAAAAATTAAACCAAGACAAATCATGTCAGAACTTTTCCCCCCTCAATGTGAAATTACAATGTATTAAAATTAAGTGAATAACAATCAGAACATTTTAGAGAAAAATAAAAAATATACAATAACCTGGTTACATAAGTGTGCACACCCCTAAACTAATACATTGTTGAAGCACCTTTTGAATATATTTCACCACTCAGTCTTTTTGGCTAAGAATCTATCAGCGTGGTACGTCTTGACTTGCCAATATTTTCACACTCTTTCTTGCAAAAACATTCTAAATCCATCAAATTGTAAGGGCAGCTCCTGTGCACAGCACGCTTCAGGTCACCCCACAGATTTTTTGTTAGATTCAGGTCTGGGCTCTGGCTAGGCCATGCAAAAACATTGATTTTCTTTTGGTTAAGCCATTTCTTTGTTGATTTGGATGTATGCTTTGGGTCATTGTCGTGCTGAAAGGTGAAATTCCTTTTCATCTTCAGCTTACTAGCTGAAGGTTTTGCGCTAAAATCAACTGGTATTTGTAGCTATTAGTGATTCTCTCCGCCTTGATAAAAGCCTTCTGGCCCCAGTTTTTGCACCAAACATACCTTTTGGAAATATACCTTTTGGAATTGGTCTCATCAGACCATAACACATTTTGCCACATAGTTTGGGGTGATTTAGTTGAGCTTGGGCTTGCGTATAGCCACCCCACCCAATAGACCAGATATGTGAAGAATATGAGAAATTGTTATCACATGCAGAGAGTAATCTCGTGTGATATTCCTGCAGCTCCTTTAATGTTGCTGAAAGTCTCTTGGCAGCCTCCCTGTTTTGTCTCATCCTTTTATAAATTTTGGAGGGACGTCCTGTTCTTGATGATGTCACTGTGGTGCTCCATTTTCTCCATTTGTTGATGACGGCCTTCGCAGTGTTCCATGGTACATCTAAGGTTTTGGAATTTTTTTGTACCTCTTTAATGATCGATACTTTTTGACAGTGGGACCCTGTACAGGCTTTGTAAGCTCTTGACAGACTTTTGACTTCAAGAAAGAAAATCCTACATAAACTGCTGGACTTTTTTTTAACCATATGCCATTTTAACATAGGTGTGTAGACTTTTTATATCCACTATATATATATATATA